ATGATACTTGATTGATTGTTATGAATAAAAATATTTTTTTCTTAACTTCCTAGTAACTTTAAACGTTTATCTGAACATTCTTAACGTAGTCAAACAAACTATAATAAATATATTAAATACATAAATTTATTTATTTATATTTTTAATGCATGACTAGCATTTGTTTTTTCCAATGTCATCTTTTTGAGATAAATGAATTTCTAGAGCATACTTACCATTCTGATTCATCGACACGACAAACCAGAGGATAATTTGTAACATCCCTGATTAGTCCCATATCGAAAGTGGGCAAGATTAAGTTTGTAGTAACAAACCTGGCTCTGATACCAAATATAATGACCCGAGCCTGATGGGCTAATTGGCCTATCAATTTTGTTTGGTCTAAACCATTAACCAAAATGCTTATAGAAGGAGTTAACTTTTTCAACTATTAAGTGTTTATAATTTATGAAATTTATAATTAATTTATATTATATATTAAGTATTTAATAAAATGATTAATTATCGAATCCAACTTAAACGCTTTCTCGATTTTGTTGACATCTTTTTATGATCTTTATTTTCTTTTAGTGAGAGATCGACAAAATCATAGAAGTATTCTTCCAAATGACCACATTATCTTATACGCGGAAACAAATGACATCTTTGATGACCATATCAAACATTAGCAAAATAATCATTGATACTAGAAATTTCATGTCTATTTATCTTAATAAGTATTCCTAAAAATAACTTCTTTAGGAAACCTCAATCATCACACCACAAAAAAAAGTGATCAAATGAAAAATCATCACCTATTTAACTCACAAAGAACAATCTTTAATCACATTATATAACAATTCATAATTCATGTTTAATAACGAGAAAGAAACAACCTGTAATATTCAACTATAATGCTAATAATAAGTAATTTTAGTATTTTATTTACTAAGTCTTACGCATACCAAAGGAATTAATTATAAATTATCTTTATACTTATAAAAATAAAATATTTAATTTTATTGTTCCTCGCGTCATCGATTTACTATTGAACACATACTAATTTTATCTAATATCAGTTTATCGTTAATTACATATAATATTTTTATTATCGACTATATGAGAAGAAACGAGATTAAACGTTTCAGTTTCAGAAATCGTAATATAATTCTTAAACATATAAAAATTAAATTATCAAAAATATCTAATTATATAAAATAATATAAAATTAGTCCTACCAAAGACATGACCACGTGCAGTGAGAAGCAACGTGGCGGGAGAAGGGCCATGCAATGCCTGCACGCGATCCCGCCACTTCTCCACCAAACCCCTTTCCCCTTTCCCCTTTCCCCTTTCCCCCATGCAATCACGTCTCACAGGTGACCTGCACTTGCCGTGCACCCTCTCGCCATCCAAAGCCACCTGACTTCTCTCCGCCCACCAGTCCATGTATCTTCTCCATCTCTTCTTCCAGCTCACCATCCTCCGAGTCTGCAGCATCCACATGCCTGCCTCACGCATCATGCCCACATGCATGCCCACTGCATGACAAGATCCCAACACGGAGCATGGCGGACACGCTGCGCCAACCCCCATCATATGACATGCACGTATGGTGATGCTATCGCGAGGTTGGACACAAAGCATGCACATGTTGGATGAAGTAAGTCATATGACGACGAACGGAGAGTCAAGGCGCATGTTGGAGATGTTGGGTTGGGAGAAGAGGCTGCTCCTGCCTTCCATCTCCATGCATGGCTCAGTGTCTTGTCTCTCTCGGTCACACAAAGGCAACATCGCCTGCCTTCCTGCCTCGGATTGGGTCTCTTTCCTATTGCTATGGAACAAGGATTAGGTGCCATCTCGTGGGTGCCACCATGTGGGATTCATCACGTCTTGTTCACCCACTTGCCATCGTACCCTAACATGTCCAATTTGCCTTAATCGGATTACTAAGTCAGTGGTTAAACCGATCGAATCTTAGGTTTGATATTTTTAGAATATAAATTATATAGTATAATATGATAGGTCAAGGAGATAAACGAGAAATACAGATAATAATTATTTTTCTTTGATAAATAGAGAGATGCATTTATTAAACGTGGAAAAATTTTCATGTCCAAAGTTCACGTTTGATGCAAACTAAAAGATATTTATGAATATTAATATCTTGTTGTCGACATTGTGTCATTATAATAATGTAGGACGAAAGTCCTCAATGACCTTTCAATCTTATCGACGTCTTTGTCGATGCCTTCTTACACCATACAATCCGATTTTTCTAATACATGTTCGTAACTTAATTTCAATTTAGTTAGTTGACAAAGACCTTAATTATTCATAGCAAAATCATATTATCGAATTCAAAGCATATGAAAATTTGATAGTTCATTGTAGTGTTGTCATTTAGAGTCATTATCATGGATCTCTTTGCGACTCTTCTCTAGCTTTTAAGTTAATAGTAGGGGTCTTGACATGTGGACAACTCGATGCCACATCACATATTGCATCGACCTGACATATCGATCGAACGTCGAGGCCACATCAATCCCATGTTGGATGTTCACTCATCTCGACATGTTAGTCAAAGTGTCCTTTGTCTCGTTATCAAAAGTATATACATACAGTAATAGCCAATAATTCCGCATAGCTATCTCATAGATTAATTCTTCACTTAATTTCAATAATCACCCAAGCTTCTATAAAAAGGCTTTAGTTGACATATTAGTGTTTGCATGATCGGCTACTGAACCGTCTCAAGTCTTGACATCAAACTTATGATGAGCTCAAACATACACAAGTGAAGATTTGCTTTTAATTTTTTAAGCAATAATCAAGTCAAACATTGTAACACTTTTATCACCCAATCATCATACATTTAGGTCTTCAAAAATCACTTACACTTCTCTAACCATTTCTATGGTGGAATGATATGGTTTTGGTAAGCACTTTACAACACCAATGATAGTTGATAACCTAAGAAGGATCATAATTCTATCAACTTTGTTGGGGTTTACAATACATAAGATATAGAATTTCTCAAGGGTAAAGTTCATCACATAAAGTGATTGTGAATGCTGGATGTGCTCTTCTAAATTGTCAACATAAACTACCATATATTCATGCTACTACTTTTAGTATTTGCCAATACAATAGATGCATTTACCTATTGATATATGGTCTGTCTCCACATTCACAATGTGTTCATTGTAGATTTAGAACTCCAATATCTTCTCCTTGACCATTACCAATCAGATATGGAGTTCCATCATCTTCTCTTTGTGATTCCGATGTCTTCTGGTTATGACCATAATTGTAGTTGTGCCTCCTCTTATGCAAACAACCCATATTTTCTCCATGTGATACCATCGATATCTTCATGTTGCTTCAGCATCCGTCTCACCTATCTGCTCTCCTATGAGTTAAGCCATGTGACATTCCTTCACTAACCTGCATAAATGCAAAGATCAATCAATAAATCTCTCAGTGGTATGATTTTTTTTTGTGTATACTTTGTAATGAAACACCGATAATAGTCGACGACCCTAAGAGTTATAATTATATCAGTTTTAGTGTTTTTGGTTAAAATTGAATAATCATTAACAATACCTCAAGAATTAAATATTCCCGTGAGTAAAATAATTCTTGTCTTTAGCACATAAAGTGGATTTTTTTTAGAATTTGAAAGATAGATCATGAATGTTGGATGTGCTCAGCATAAACTATCACAAATTTGTATAATTACTCTAAAAAAGTTTAGCATGTGTCAATCCCATATATTTAACCAAAATTTTCAAAAACTCATAGCCAATGACATGTGAGTATTCTCAAAAAAATTTAGTGTGAATTGCGTCATGGGTATGTCAACTCTCTTTGAGATGTTAGATGACTTTTTTTTGCACTATCATTGAACAGTTCATCTATTTATGGATGTTTCTCTTTGTGACTCCAATGTCTTTTTGTTTATATCAATCATTCCAGTTGTCTATTCTCTCATAAAAAAGCAATTTGTATCTTCATGTTGCTTCGACATCCTTCTCACTTATCAACTCTGACACTAGTTGTCACAATTTTATAGGTTGAGCCATGTGGCATTCCTTCACTAACCTAACTAAAAACCAAACATAAGTGCCTTAGTCATACACAAGTTTGTAGATAGAAAGGTTCATGAAGTCACACCCAAATGGGTACTTGAGGTCAATGAATCATTAATAGAGAAAATCTTACCACCAATAAGGAAAAAGCTGCATATGGTATTGAAGGATTCCTCACCTATAGCCAAGAAAATAAAGTTAACAAGGGTTTCAATAGTAGATAAGGCAAAAAAATAAAAATCATAACCAAGTATTCCCTACATCAAGTGACCCACTTAAATGTTTCTATTAGACAAGGAATCATACTTGATGTTTATTTCTAAAGGGACTTCCATTTCACTAAAACATAGTCATATCACCATCTCCAATGGCCTCAAAAATGCTACAAGATATCACAGAAGTCCTTACTGACACAAAGCCAATATCAACCATGTCGGCTATCCCATCAGCCTCCTGTTGACACTGTGCATGCAAGCACGAAATTTAGCGTGATTTATGCATTTGATAAATGCTGCCAAATCTCGAGCTTGTTATTCTAATGATGTGCCATAATCTCCTAGGACTCGCCTAATTATATGGTTAGATGCAGGTTCTGTTACTTGGCAGACACAGAATAGTATGCCTAAGTTCCTCAATCTCAGACAAGGGGGACAGCGTCACAAGCATCACAGGAGGAGAAGAGAGTTCGATGCCATGATGGGCACAGAGAGAGAGAGAGAGAGAGAGCGGCATGTCCTAATGCCATGTCGTTGACTCGTGGCGACTTGGGAACACACAGAGCCCATTGGCCGAAGTGCACAGGAGGCCGGTGGGACCCCGGTAAGAGACAGCAGGGGAACATGTGGGCCTCCTGCGAACTTCCTACTCCCATGTCCACCTTCTTCTTCCTCCCTTGCCTTCTCGCCCCTCCTATAAAGTCCTTCCTCCCTCGTCGTCTCTCTCACACCAGTTTCCCTTCTTCCTCATTCCCTAAATCGCTTCTACATCGGCCTACGACAAGATGTCGAACAGGAGGTCCCGAGTCTCGGAGGAAGAGATCAACAGGCTCGTTTCCAAGCTCCAGTCTCTCCTGCCGGAGACCCGCCAACGAGGCGCCGGCAGGGTAAGCAAGCACGCGCTCTCAGGCTGCTACTCAGCAATGGAAACTCTATGCCCGTTGATCTAATCACTGTGTCCCTGTTCCTGTTGTGCAGGCTTCAGCTGCGAAGCTGCTGAAGGAGACGTGCAACTACATCAGGAGCCTCAACCGGGACGTGGACGACCTGAGCGACCGGCTCTCGGCCATCATGGCGACGATGGACAGCAGCAGCGCCGAGGCCGAGATGGTCCGGAGCCTCCTCCGGTCCTGAGCCGGCTCAGCCTCAACTGCCTTCCTTTGTTCTACGTCTACAAATCTACATAGATATGAACACAATGTAACTTGTTATGAGCTTAGAAATCAGATCCAGCATCAGTAGTTTTCCCTTCATTTTGTCAAGCACTTCGGTGACGCTACCTCAAGGCTAGAGCGAAGGTCAATCTTGGCAATTTGGGGAATGGCATGGTGAGGTTGAGCTACGTGCGTGAATGTGTGCTTGTACGCACATCGATGAAGGATAAGGCATTTAAGCGAACACTTCAACGACAGGGAGAATCCACCGAACTGCGTCTCCTCAAAAAAGAGGGAGAGAGAGAGAGAGGCCATGAAGAGAACGAACCTAATTCGATCCAATTGGGGCCACGTCGTTGTGGGTCGGGGAAGACGGCAGCGCCGGCTTCGTGGGTCGCCGATCAGGGCATATTTGCCCTCGCCGCCTCATGTGGTCGCTTCTATTGGGGTTTTTGGTTCGGCGAGGGGAAACGGGAATTCGGGGGCGGTCATAGGGAGGGCGGGAATTGCCGTTACGTTGACGACACGCGACCTTCGCAGTGGTAATAGAAAGACACGTGGATAACATCGGTGAGTTACATACTGCTTCCTATCGAAAATCTACGGTCCTGATTTGCTGAGTCGTGATGAAGCGCCGTGATGATCATAAAATCATACCACCCACCAATTGTATTAATATGATTAAATAGGTTAATTTAAGGGCATCTTTTTTTTTGTAAAAATAGTGCATCCAATATTCATATTTTTCAATAATATTTATCTAAAAATAATTCTTCATTGTATGAAATCAATAAAAGTATAAGTAACAAAAATATTTGTTTTTTGAGCTAATTCAAATCTAAGTTTAGAATTCTTCGTTTGTCGAGAATTTTCTAGTGATCTCTCTAAGTTTACTAGAGAAAAAAATAGTATGAAATACATGAGATATTATTAAAGAAAATAACTTTTAATTTTAAGATTATTTTCAAGCAGAATCCTTTTTAAAATAAAAATTACTTGTTGACCAAATAAAAATTTCCTCCACATTTTCCTAATATAATTATATTATTAATTAATATTTTTTTAAAAAAAATATTCAGTCCAAATAATGATTTCATTCCCACAACAATAAAAAGAATCAAAGGACATGACACCATTTAGGAGGAGAGGATGTTCTTACATCATTCAAAACAACATTAACTTGTGTCTAAGAAATAGAATGCATAGTCCATTTATGTTGTGTAGCATAACACTTTAAACCAATATTCACAAAATATAGGAATTTGATAATTAATTTATTTCTTAGAATATAATTATCTTTCTAAGAGAATAATGAATCTACATCATGTCGTTCTTGTAAAATTAAATTAAATTATCAGAATGAGAAATTATTCACTTCAAATAAATAATTTTGTATGAATCCCAAAAAAATACTTTTGAGGGTAGTGGTGATTCTAATACTTATGATTGGTCTACTCCTCTATTAATATGAGATTAAATATATTTATCAATTCCAAATGATGAATTGAGGTCAAATTCATAAAATAATATAATCTATGGATATCACTACTATAGTAAATAATTATGATTACAGATTTTTCAAACACAATGAGGATCCAAATTCACATGTTTTGCATCAAGTTCTACAAAGTGTATGTAGTAATGGCAAAACACAGGTAATGACTTCTATATGTCCAACACCATGACATAAACATACCTCCTCATGAGTCATGACAAACACAATATATTCCTTATTCATAAGTAAATAGATATTGATATTGCTCAGTTTCTTATATAAGGTAAGAAGTATTGTGGATTTCTGAAAAGAAAGCACACAAGTAAACAGTGTCATGGCCATCATGGATGAGATATACAAACATGATGGAATGCCCTGGATGTTACATGTTAGCATGACCATGGCACATAAACATGACATGTTCCTATATGAAAATCCCACCATGTCCATTGAACATAAAAGTGAGAGAATGATAGGTGTCTTTTCAGATAGGTGTCTTCTTGCATTATTTTAGATACTTTAACTATGTATCTCAGATGATCATCTTTAGATACAAAACCCCATTCACATCATATGGCAATGCATATGCCACACCATACAAAGAGAAAACAGTGGAGGTCATAATATATAGAAACCCATAGAACAACAATGAGGGTACCAAATTGTGTGCCATGATGATTTGGAAAGCCAAAAATGGATAACTGTTGACAATAAAATTTTCATTTGAAATAAGCTCTGTGGTACATTTGTCTTTTAGAGTGAAGAATTAATGCGTATGTTACAAATTTAAGAGAGAAAACTATATATATATATATATATATATATATATATATATATATATATATATATATATATATATTGTTGTTATTATGTGGACATCATTGTAAGAGTTTAAGACATCACATTAATCCTGCATAGAGAAAGAGAAAACCAAGAATAGCAATGTAAGCTCAAGCATCTTCTAAGTTTTGTAGCTGTCTTATTGCTTGATGTGGCTAATCCTTTAGTGTTTTATATAGATTGTATAGATGATGTTTTGCCCAACACCACTCCTCTTTTGTTAGTCTCTTAGATATTTGAAATTTAAGTATACACATATGTAAGAATCTTGACTTTGTCATATAGGGTTTATGACAAGTTAACATATAATAATGCTAATAATAACAACATAAACAATCTTATCTATATAAGAAGTATTTTTATTTTTAATTTAATTTTCAAAATTGGCATATTCAATTTTGTATATTGTATTTTTTAAAATTAATATCGATCGACATATATCAATCAGATAAATATTTGGTACCATCGGGAACAATTGAGGTGTTACTTCTAGAAAAGCATAGATTAAAATAGAAGTCACTGTGAACTTGTAATAAAAAAGATGAATTAAGAAGAAAGAAGAAGAAAAAGATATGCATGAGAAATTTGGATTGGGTAAGCTCTAAGAATTAGTGGAGATCCCTATTATTTGGATTAATGAGAACTATTTGGATTGTGTCACCTCTAAGAGCCATCATGGGTAATGATTTTCGATATAATCCCATCGTATACACGAGAGATGATGGTATTATTAAGAAAAAGATAATCAAGTTAAATAGTATGTTCTAACATTAAAATAATCATGTAACGAACTTGATGCATTGTTACACAATATATATGGGTTAGTGTAATGAAAAATAACATTTTTCTAATCTAATTTTGGAAATAAGTATATTTGTAATTTTTTATTTTTTATTTTAATTTTTTTTCCCAATTTGAAGGGATGGTTGTGAGTTCATATTTTTTCATATATAAAATTTACAATAAATACTCCTAAATATCAAAACAAGAAGTTATGCGACATTAAAAATGATAATAATCAAAATGAAGGCATTAATTCTTAGCCTTATTTGGAGCTTGATTTATTCCTTTGACAAATTCAAATATTTTTCTTTCATCTTTTGTCCTTTTTTTTTCTATCCAACTCATCGATACATACACTCATTGAAGATTATGAGATACTATGCGAAATCAATTTTGTACTCTTTGATATTTCAACATATGACAAGAAGATTATGATTGCTAGCCCAACATAAGAGATAACCTTTAATTTATATTAGCAACGTCGTGGAAAGAGCTCTGACTTGGAATTGATCGTTCCAATCATTGAAACATATATAAATCTACTTGGTATCATCTTCACCCTCTTTGGGTTACCGTCGATATTTTGTTGAAAATTTTCTCGAAACGTGGTTGAATCCCATCTTCATTTATTATTTTTGAGGAAAAAAAAGTATTTGAGGTCAAAAATATCACACTTTATAGTTCTTCTCTATGATTTATTGATGTCCACTTACTAATTTTTTTCCTTAAAATATGATCTTCTTATTTTAATCTTCTTTTATTTTTGAGTTTTTCTATTCTTCTTTATTATTTTCTCTTCCAATTAGGAATGAAAAAACGAGGTTTCGATCTTTCCTTTCCTTTCCTTTTGATCATTCTATCCTTCTAATAGAGAAAAAGAGTTACGAGTAGTGTTAATTTTTTAAGTATACATAATCTTATACTAAGAATTATGAAAGTAATATAATTAAATATTTTAAATTAATGATTTAGACTCAATGAAATTACAAGATCAATTACCTATCGGATCGATCATGCTAAACAATTTCAAGATCAATTAAATTCTTCATTATATACAAATAATAAAATATAGAAAATCATTTCAAAAGATTTTTTCGTGCTTAACCTAAAAAATTAATATAAAATCTATATGGTTTAACCATTCATCTCTAAATCGATAAAAATAAATAAATAATTTTTTTACTATATAAAAAAATCAAATAAAATATATTATACTAAACTCTGTTTTAAAACTTGTTAAACAAATTGTAACTTATTATAAAAGGATCATTTTTTTTATCAAAATGATGAAAAAATATATCATAACTAAAAACTCAATAATTAAATTATTTTAAAGATAAATCTATGATCCTAAATAATTAAGATTATCGTACTCATTATCTAGTCAAGTCATTTTTAAGAAATAAAATTTTTAGAATAAATGAAATATTTAGAGAGAATTCTAATCATAAACTCTCATCGCATCAACTACAAATATTACATAACGTAAATAAAATAAAAAGAATAGTAATATTATCGAGATCTTAAACATTAATTTAAATTAACAAACAAACCTATTTATGAAAACAAAAGGTTAAAAAAAAAAAAAATCTAAAATAAACGTCGCTCTGTTTTGCCTTTCCATTTTGACACTCCCTAAAAGAAGGAAACAAAGGTTGAGCAACAATCAAAGGAGCAGTACGACACATTAATTATAGGATGCACGCATATTAAAGCTGGTTTCCACCTCTGATCTCTAGATTTCGACGCGCAGAAAGTGACGGAGCGAGAGGGAGTATATATAGGAGGAAGGAAACAGAGGGTCTCCCTCCCCTGAGGCCTCTCCCGTTCACCAATTCCTGGCTTTGTTCTTGGCATCCCCAAGGCCTCTCTGGGGGTAGCGCAACGGAGCTCGAATAAGGATGGAGTTTTCCGGATTACCATGCTGCGTCCTCTCTTTCGCGCTTCTCCTCCTTCCCTTATCCATCGCCTCGGTAGAGCTCCAGAAGGCGCCCGTTTCAGGTTCTTCCGCCTTTCTTGCGCTCGACAAAAGATTGATGCGGAAAAAAAGATCGTCTCTTTACATTTATAGGGCGGTGTTTTTTGGGCAGAACCTCTGTTTTTTTCTGTTGCGTGGAAAAGATACGACTTTTTACGTGTTTATGAGTCGATTTGGGGCACATTTGTGGTTTCTTGGTCGCTTTTTCTTCGTCGTTTCTTGAACTATTGAGGTTTAATTTGTGGGAAGAGGGCTTGAAGGTGGCTTGGGTCCTCGGAAAGGAGAGGAGTTTTTAGCAGAACTTCTGTTTTCTGTGGCAAAGAGACGATTTTGATGTGTTTTTGGGCAGATTTTGTGCATATTTGAGATTTCCTGGTCTCATTTTCGTCATCGTTTCGTGAGGCTTAATTTACACGTAGAGGGCTTGAAGATGGCTTGGGATCAGAACATCCGTTTTTGGTGTAAAAGAGACGATCTTTATTGATTAGATTTTCCGCACATTTCTGGTTTCTTGGTCTCTTTATCTTCTGTTTTTGGTGGAAATGAAACGATTTTTATGAGTTCTTGAGCAGACTTTCCGCACATTTATGATTTCCTAGTCTCTTTATCTTCACCGTTTCTTGAACCATTGAGGCTTAATATGTTGGTAGACAGCTTGTACATGACTTGGGTCCTTAAAGAAGAGTCGATCTCTGACCACAACTTCTGAATTTGAGAGCAAAGAGACGATCTTTCTGTGCTTACGAGTAGATTTTGCGCACATTTATGATATCTTCTTGATCTCTTTCTCTTCGGCGTCTCTTGAACTACGAAGAGATGATTTTTGATGTGTTATGAGCAGATTTTGTGCAAAATTATGATTTTTTGGTCTCTTCTTCTTCATCGTTTCTCGAACTATCGAGGCTTAATGATAGGTAGAGGGCTCGAAGATGACTTGGATCCTTGGAAAAAGAGACGATATTTTAGCACGGCTTCTGCTTTCGGTGGAAAAGATACGATTTTTATGAGTTCTTGAGCAGATTATGTGCTCATTTTCCATTTCTTGGTCTCTTTCTCTTCTTCGTTTCTTGAACTATAGAGGCTTAATTGAGGACGACGGCTTGGGTCCTCGGAAAAGCGACGATTTCATAGCACAGCTTCTGTTTCGATGAAAAAGACACGATTTTGATGTGATTTTAAGCAGATTCTGAGCGCATTTATGCTTTCTTGGTCTCTTCTTCTTCTTCTTCGTCTTCATCCTTTCTTGAACTGCTGGAGCTTAATTTATAGGTAGAAAACAGCTTGAAGAAGACGGCTTTGGCGCATGGAGGAGGTTCGTCGCCGAGGTGCCGTCCGCCGGCGACGCCACGGCGCAAAACAGCACCTTCGTGCTGGCGGCGGAGAGGACGTATAGGCAAGACCCCATGAACGGATACCAACGCTACACCGGCGGCTGGAACATCAGGAACCAACACTACTGGGCTGTGAGCTCCTCTCATCCTCTCCTCCTCCGCCGTCTCTTCTTCTTCTTCCCCCCCCCCCGCAACCCTTCACCGTCTCCTCGCATCTCCCCGCAGTCCGTTTCTTTCACCGCCATGCCACTCTTCGCCATTGCCGTAGCTTGGTTCCTGGGATTCGGCATCGTCCTCCTCCTCATCTGCTGCTGCTACTGCTGTTGCCGACGGCGGAAGCACTCCTACTCGCGAGCCGCCGATGTCATCTCTCTCATTCTCCTCGTACTACTAACCTGCGCTGCAATGTACCAAACAACCTCTCTCCTCCGCTCCTCTTCCATCTCCATCTACTTCGTTCCATGAATCCATAGCTTCTCTGGTGCTGCAGCGCTGGATCTGTCATCCTGTACGACGGACAGGGGAGGTTTCACAAGAGCACATCGGCAACACTGGATTACGTTGTGGGACAAGCAAATCTGACAGTGGACAATCTTCAGAAGTTCTCCAGCAGTTTGGCTGATGCTCGGAACATCGGAGTGGATCAGATCTTTCTTCCTACCGATATGCAGAGCAAAATCGATGTGCTTCACACAAAGATCAACACCTCGGCCACTGCTCTCTCTACTCAGACATCAAAGAACTCCAAGAGTATCCATGGCGTGTTAGATGCAGTGTGAGTGTCCCATCCATCCATCCATCCATCCATCCATACTCACAATAATAATATGATCTGCCTGCAGGGGTTGGAATCTGATCATCGTGTCTGCAGTGATGCTGCTTTTGGCATTCCTCGGATTCGGTGAGCACCAAACGCGTCACTTACGTGCTTTCAAATAGGATTACAATGTTTTTGATACTTGAAGTAAATATTGTGATAGATACTGACTCAACTTTGTTCCTAAGTCAATTTCTTCTTATATCACTGAGTTGCTGATTTCCTATGTTTATTATGATGCAGTATTCTCTATATTTGGACTGCAATTCCTTGTCTCTATGTATGTAAGATGATCTTTTCACCATTGTTATCTTTTTCTGTGCATCACTTTATTTTATTGTATATGTATATATATATATATCATATTCCATGGGAATTTGACCCTTAGTTCTCTTGCTAACATAATGCAGCTTAGTGGTTGTTGCGTGGATTTTAGTAGCAGGCACATTTATCTTATGTGGCATTTTTCTTCTTATCCACAAGTAAGTCGAAATTTCTACTTCTGCGGCTGACTAAATGTTTGACATTTAGATGTAATATTAGGAGTGAGTCAAACTTGATGAGATTATTCTTAATGCTTTCGTCTATCTTTCCTCGTCTTACTTGTTATCGAGAATCAAATCTACTGATGATCATGCACAACACGAACTATTTGATGCACCAGTGTGGTCGGGGACGCCTGCGTCGCCATGGACGAGTGGGTGGATCATCCGCACGCGCACACAACTCTGGATGACATCCTTCCCTGCGTCGACGTCGCTACCGCCGATGAATCCATGCAACGAAGCAAGCAAGTCACGTTCCAGCTGGTCAACCTGGTCAACCAGGTCATCGTCAACATCTCCAACGCCGACTTCCCCCCTGGTATGGCGCCTCTCTACTACAACCAGTCCGGCCCGCCGGCGCCGCCTCTCTGCAACCCCTACTTGCCCGACATGTCCAACCGCACCTGTCTCCCCGGGGAGGTCGACTTCAACAGCGCATCAAAGGTATGGAAAGGCCACGTCTGCCAAACTGCTCGCGTCGGCGGGAGCGACGTGTGCACCACCGTGGGTCGGATCACTCCCAGCATCTACTACCAGATGACGGCGGCGACCAACGTGAGCCACGGACTGTACTACTACGGACCCTTCCTGGCGCAGCTGGCTGACTGCACCTTCGTCCGCGAAACCTTCGCGGCCCTGGCCAGCAACAACTGCCCCGGCCTGGACCTCTACAGCAAATTGATCTTCGTGGGTCTCGTCATATTGTCGGCCGCCGTCATGTTCTCCTCCACATTTTGGATGGTCTACGCCAGGGAGCGGCGGCACCGCAAGTACAACAAGCAGCTCAGTGGTCGAGAGAGGGTGCCTTTGGATTTCTGAGACCCTCGAGTTCTTGGGTAGCTGTTGGGCGGTGCCTTCTTCATGAAGCGATCATCTGCATGGTTGATGGTGCCTACGTACATGATGATGATGATGTAACATGAAACAAGCGCTTTGTGTGTTCTTTGTTTGCTCTAGGTTTTGGATGATACCAGTAAAGTTGCGTTGCCACGAAAGAAGAAAGCCATATTTGAAGTGCTGCAAGAATGTGTTATATTATGAGATTTTACTAATCTATTATATATTAATAAAATATAAAATTAATTAGTCATCTTTCATCATGTCAAGCAATATAAGATCAACATTCTCCTATCCACTAAGGCAGAAACTCAACAGACATTTCGGGTTAATTATCGAATTACTTTCAATGCAGAATATTCGCAGGAATAATCTTAGAAGATGAGAATATAGTTCAAGTCGATTATGAATTGATTCTCCCATCAAAATATTTATATGAATATTTTTAGAAGATCAAAAAGTAATTTGAGTTGATTATAAATAGGCTCCCATATAGAATATTCATAAAAATATTTTTAAAAGATAATTCAAGATAAAAATATTAATTTAATCTATGAGCTTAAATTATTAGATTATGGGTCAGACTCAAATATATACCAAACTTTTTTATATTGATCAATATGAGACTATTCATTTAATCATCTTTTCAATTTCTCCTCGTACATAAATAAATATCATTTAATAGATACTCTTACATCATTTATGATTTGCTTTGTAGCAACCAATGCAAGAAAAATATCTTTTCTGACATAGGAGCAATAAGAAAAAAAGGTCAAGCGAACTTTAATCAAATATCTAAGAAGATGGCGGCCATCTTAGGTTTTGATAAAGACAATCATTTATTTTGTTGAAAGAAATTATTGCCTGTTATTTATCAAGGCTCTTCCAGGTCTACTTCAGTAGAACCACTAGAGAGGACATGAATGAGGTCAAGAAAAACTGCTTTTGATGTCACTCTTATGTCAACCTCTGGTAGAATAGGTGGGAATTCCCTCTGTTGTGGGGGAGATACAGATAGGAGACTTTTTGAAGCTTCAAAAGCTTCTAATTAAATACTAGGGCTGGAGAGGAAAGAAAAGCTCCTGTTGAGGTGATGATTCAAGGTGTTGGTAAACAAATATATCGTGGTTGATGAGTCAACACGGTTTGGTCCACGGGTCAATATCGAGAGTCTTCTGTCGACTGAGCTGGATGCCAAGGTCATCTGGGCCCTCGCGATGGAGTGTTGATCAGCGTTCCTTGGTGTGCCGATCCGGGCACCGTGTATGCCAAGCTGTGTCTCTTCGTCTCTGGTGTGGTTGGCAGCTCATCTTCTTGAGGTGGTCGCGCCCTCGAGAAGGAGTGCTGGTTGGCATTGGTTGAGATCTGGGCCGATTGACTACTCTCCTTCATACACTGGATGGCGATTTTTGGGTTGAGACACTCGCAGGTCATGGGCGACCGCTTTTATATAAAAATGGCCCTCGTCGGGTGATTCCCGATGAGACCCCTCCGATGAGCAAGTCAGTGGAGTGTTCGATTGATTTTTCTTCTCTTTTTTCAGGTCAGATGCCGATCAGAGGTCTTTATATTATTGTATGTGGGTTGATCATATGTGGGTTGACATGGTGGACGTGCCAAACAGTGCCTTGGTACGGATTCTGTCTTGGCGTGTCTTGGGGGTGGCGCCGTCTCGGGATTCTCAAGACGTGACGTGCCAAGCAACACCTTAGTACGGATTCTAATCTGATATATCTTGGGACTAAAATATACCGCATCATAAGGTATAGCATATTATTGTTATTGTTGAGACAAAAAGCAAATGGATAAACTAAGACGAGCATTCTATGAAATGGATATATGATTTCTTTCTCAAGTCAAAGATGGATATATGATTTCTTTCTCAAGTCAAAGAGGGCAAATGGTGACATTAATTCTGCACCATGTTGGTTTAGGGTGTAAGTTGATGGAGTAGGGTTTGTGGTTTGAGAACGCAGTGGAGAGTCGATAGGTGTTGATGCTGAGGCAGTAGCATATATAAAGCTAGTGATGAAGAAGTCATTTGCATGTTTGCTCTCGGTCTTCGGCGATGAATGAATCCCTGTAGTGTCAACATACGTTTAGGTGATTCATTTTTAGCAGTGTGAGAATTGTTTTTTCCTTTTCTAGCATGTTTTGTTTAGTGAGTGCTAATAGAAATATCTGTAAATAGTAATATGCATGGGTTGGCATGCTAACGTCCATGCCAGCATCAACATAAACATCCAAGTCATTCGTGTTAATAATACCTCGATGTCTATATCGATGATCTTATCATTGACACACAATATTACGATCGAGATTTATGAGCCGCCCGATCAACCATTCAATGATTAAACTATTTTCTAGTACTTAATAACATCTAAAATATAAAATTAATTTTAATATCACTCTAAAGATAATTTTAATAAGTAATAATTATAGATAAAAATAATAAATACTTTAAATGGTTGTTTGGACATCAATCTATAAAGTTATAACTTGTAATTGCAACTAATATAAAGTATACAGAAAAGAGGGGCAACTTAGGAGGCGCAAAGGGCATAAAAGATGAAAACAAAATATTTAAAATCAATTTTGACTAGCAATCGAACATATAAGTCTACCAAAAATATATAGGAATTTAATGGAAGGTGTACATGCTACAAGCTATAAACAATTTAATTTTTTGCCACAATTAAATATATTTAAACACCTAAAACATTGGTGGTGTATGACACTTCTTTATTAGATATTGAGGTTTAAAATATTATCTGATAATTTTTATATTTATTTATTTAAAAATATTTTAAATGGGTATAAGTAATTTAGCGTAGAAGGGATTCTCAACGTCAAGGCTGGCCCCCACACTTGACGCTATCACACCTACCCAACTTTGTTGCTAAGAAATAAAGTACAAGGAAAACCAAGGACGAGTATCGTTCACGCACCGAGGTCGTCCTTTCCGGACTGGCAGATGAGTCGGGTGTAGACTTGGCCCGTAGCGCCGACGTCGACGAGGCCATGCTGTTGCTGTTTCCATTATATGGTATGGTATGGACTTTTGCATTCGTGTCACTGTCTCCAAAGTCTCCCGTGCATGAAGTCATGTTAGCGTCATACGTTTGTAATCTTCTAATTGGACACCCTTTACTTTAACCACTAATGTAGCCCACACATTTATTGAGTCAGTGCATCCTTATCCCTCACCATTTTATTCTCACAATCTCAAGTTAGTCATTTCCCCGTAAAAGATGGTGGAACGACTGCATCTGTCTCTATCGTCAGTTATCGGATAAGAATTTGGATGAGCATACCAAACCAATGGTGAACTCTATAATAATAATACTTGGTATATAAAAAAATACGGGATAGGAATTAGACGCATGACAAAGACGAATTAAAATCCAAATTTACATTGATATAATTTATTATATAAATCTAGAATAATATCATATTATTTAAATGTATTTTAGATATAAAAACTAAATAAGTAAGATGAAGAGCGACATATCTCATGTGAACTACTAGTGTCTTATATATCAGGAAAAAATATTTTAAATCATCGTTAGACCAATACTTTATGGATATTAACAAATAGTATATACAAGAAATATATATTATTAAGATAAAAATACCTATGTGAATTTATTAAAATAATAAAAAATAATTTTTATCCTCGAACATTTAACTATTACAAGAGATAGAAACCTAAAAAAAATACCTAAAAACTATAGATAGATTATTATTATTACTAAATAATAAAATAATTTAAATATTTAAAGATAAAAAAATCATATACTCGATCCTAAATAATTAAAATATTAAAATTTATTATTATTAAATAAAATTAAAAATAATTAAAAATAGTTTAATAAGAAAAAAAAAAGTTGAATTTGTACCATTACCACTGGATGTGAAAGATTCCGGTTGGCAGGTCTTCCTCCCAACTTTAGTTGGCCGGTCATTGTCCCAATTGGCCTCTTCTTAATCTTAAATGGGTCAGATCTGATTCCTTTTCTTTCACTGCTTCCCTTCGTCATCAAGCCTTAGCTTCTATAATCTGGAAGATTGGTCCAAGGAGTCCACATGAAAGCTTTCTATTGAGCTCTCTTTTATCTCAGATTCTTTCCCATATTTACAGGTAAAATATTCTTCAACTTAGCCAACAATAATGGCATCCAGCTGTCACCGGTCCCCACCTTTTGTCCTTCCTTATAAATACAATGATAATTAAGTTATATAATCTTAATTTAATGTTAATTATTTCCTGTTGATGTGTTTGTCTTGCTTGCATCGAGAAGTTTATAGACTCGAAATTCCACGCCGGTCCTGCAACGAAGGATACAAGAACAGATGGTTAAAGAAATAAAATAATAAATAAAACGGAATACATTACCTCAACGGAATAAACCAAACGAGCATCCAAAGCGCGATGGTACTGACGCCGTTTGGGCGGACACTGACGGAGTCCAAGAGGCAAGTCACGGGAACACAACGGAACAGACGGAAAACTTTACCCCCTTCTGCAGTTCACAACGAGCAACACATCGTCATATTCAACTGCACTTGAGATTGAGTGATTATAGTCTTGCACACTTGATAGTGAGATTAGTTTTAGAACCATTGGAAGGTGGTGTTCTGAGTTCAATTCCGATGTCTTTGTTCGATTGGCGGCATCAACAGCTGCCGCAACAGTTTATGTACAAACTGACGGATCTGACTTGTTCTCCACCACCAGTTTCTTTTTTCCCTGCCTTTCTTGGTACAAAAATGCCCAAAAAACGGAAATCTACAAAAATCCGAACTCCGGAATGCTCTCTGATCGGGATCAGACGGTTGCTGGCGATTCTCGCTGTGACGGTAAGGAATAGGTTTACGAACCTGATTCAAGATCGGTGGATCTATGGACCGTCGGCCTTGGACATGCGGGAGAGGCGGCTAGGGCGAGGATGGAAGTCGGCCCTCCGCCGTTGCTGGTGGGAGGACGGGCGGATGAGGGCGGCGAGGGCACGCTTCACCCACTCACCCTCCACGGCCCCGATCCGGACCAGGGAGTTCGTCATCGCCGAGCGGCGGGCGTTGAGGCGGTTAGATGGCGAGGAAACAGCGGCGTGGTGGATGTGGAGGCCCTTGTGGAGTCTGCAGCGG